ATAGAAGCACACGACATATTTCTCTGAAGTGGAAGCCCTCCTTGACATCCCCGGAGCCCCATAAAGTAGGGTTAATAGAAGGGAGCCACCCACGGGTGAGCGAGCAAGGGAATAAACAATCGAGGTGTGAGATTTTGATCAGGAACCCGAGACATTGTCACCGCCATGCCGCACCAGACCCTTCGCCTAGGTACTGCTGGCACGTGGAGTAGCTGCTGCGGCGCGTAAGCCACACATTGTGAGCCCAGCACGGAAGACGAAACTGGCGGTGTTGGGCTTGAAAATGCAGCAATTAATGCAGCGGTTTCAAGTCAGGGCTCTGGACCTTGAAGCTGTAGGGTCCAGTCTCCCAGAGGCCCACGCCAATATCTGTAGCAAATGGATCTGACTCGACTTTGAGCTCGTCAGTCAAATTGGCCCACTCGCACCCAACCCGCTGGGCCGTAAGCCCCGAGTAGCAAAGACTGCCGGAAGTGTAGCCGACTCCACAGATACAATTTAGATCGTCTTTAATTAGTCTGCAAGCAGCTTCGAATGCTGGATGCGATCCTCTCGGGAGTCGCCCTTTTGCTGCAATCGTGCCTGTCCCCCCGTATGTATATATGTACACCGAATGTCGGCATTGAGTCTTGGGAGAAGGCACGGGGCTGTACACTGCCGACCCGGGGAGATGCAAAGCGAAGCCTACGTGAGGCAAGGCAAGGGCATCTTTGACTTGTCACCTTTGTGCCAGCTCGCAGTCAAGGTCCGACTTCGTCTTGTGTCACAAAGGAAGTGGCTAAAATCTAGGCCTGGGCCCCCCACTCGAAGCTCGCGGCTCCCTGTCACGGAAGCGGTATAGCACTGTATCACTCGCCTGTTTCACACGCGCCCGCGGCTCCTTTTGATATGTATGCATGATGTGCAGTAGGTGATTGAAAATAGACTCCAATGGTTACCGACGACGTGGACGCTTTCATCCGCCTACCGAGTAGGTGTCAGATCCGCCTTGCATACATAGATGCAAGTCAAAGTGTTGGAGTCATTCCGTCGGTGAAGCCTGAGACAATGCTAATTTTTTTTTCCCCCTTCTCCCTCTCTCCGATAGTCTCACAGCTCTCGACCACCACCCAAATTGAACAACCTCGGCTTCGCTCAAATGTCGTCGCCCGCAGAAGAATAAGGTGTCGCGTCAGGCGTGGGTGAGTTGCACATCCATTGTCGTCATAGTCGAGCCCGGCGCTTCTGAGCATCCAATAGCATTGGGTGTCTTTTCCATTTTGAATCCCTGTGAAGTCCCGGAAGGTCTTCCTGGCTTCCGGCCTCGCTGAAGTGGATGCAGGGCAGTTTGCCGGTACAGCTAGGCACGCCGCGGGAGGTCTCGTGTTACCAGAGGACTACTTTTCTTGGAGCCTGTCGCATGGCGCCCCGCTCAAGGGGAGAAGCCGAGTGGCCACGAGAAAAGAGCCGGACGAGCTGGCCTCAGGGGAAAAAGGGGGCGGCGGACAAGCGACCCGGTGGCCTGGGTTGATCTGATGCATCTCGTCGATTGTACAAATGAGGTAGTCTCGGTAAAGAAGCCTCCCTTGTCGTTAGACTACGCAATGACAGATGGACTAAGACACCCCCGCCTATCCAAGGGGAAGAAAAAAGTGAAGCAGGCGAAAAAGAGAGAAGGATGAGGAGCAAGAAAATCGAGTAGGGTGTGTTTCAGAAAAGCAGTGTGGGCGATGTCAAACCCAGCAGACCGGGTGGCCCGATCCAAACGAATCGCTGAAGGCAGGGAGGGCCAGATACGATGCGATGTCTTGGAATTCGCAATGAAGTACGGAGTATAGTCACATCCATCCATTATCGCGATGGTGCACTTTTAAACCACCGACATGCGGCATCTGCATATGTATGTGTGTGTATTGTATGTATGTATGCAGCCGTATGTATTGGAAGCATCTGCACGACGGTTGAAAACGCTCCGACGTCTCGGGCGTTGGTTGCAGCTGTTTATTGACGCCGCTTTCGGACCAACACCAAGTTTGTCCCATCCTGTGTACATACGTATGTACAACGGCGGGCTTTGTGTGTATGTGTGTGTGTGTGTGTGTGTGTATGTGTGTGTGTTGGGGGGGGATTGGATTGTCGATTGTTCCCTCAATCATGGAAGAAATGAGAGGATCCATCCGTCATCTCGTGTTGATTGCCATGACCCCGCAAGCCTTTCGGCGTCGACCGTACTGTACCGTCAGCTTCGAAAGAGCGAGCGCACGCACCCTCTGGATTCTTGACTTGGGTTCCGGGGATCTCAAGTGCCCTTGTCCCGGTCGGGTTATGGTCGTGGACAGAAGCTGAACCTGTCGCAAGGCAAGGGAGAGGAGAGACTGGGAAAACCTAGGCAAAACAAGGGGGTCTGACCGCTGTTCGCCCCGGTTCTTGATAGAAATTCTCGAAGGTTTCGAAAAGGGGGCCAGGGTATGAATTTAGCGTGGGTTTGCGAACTCGAACGTGCGGGTGGGCAACAAAAAAAAAAAAGAGGAAGTGAGGGTGGATGGATTGGATTGGAGGGGGATACCTCAGGTAGACAAGGTCACCGCGGGATGGGAGGGGGTGATTTTAGTGAGGCTGGAGGAAGAGCCAGTAATTTCAAATTTTCTGTCTCTGTCTCTTTTCTTTTGGGCTCTTTGACTGCCTTTGACTGACAATTGCTTTTTGTTACTGGGTATCCTCCGCTGTGTAAGGATCTAACTACTATACCTGGACTGAATTGTACAGCGAGAGAGGGTGACGGCGGCTCTGGGTCCCGTGATTTGCATATCCATCTCCATGAACGGGGAAGCATCCTTTGATGATCCGGACGAATTGGATCTGGACCGTCCATCCCTTTCGACCGCAAGCAGAAGTTACAGATCCTACGTTAACTCTTGTAGTGGTAGTGAATTAAACTCGAGCAACTCTAGCCGCGACACCACAACATAACACGACACGACATGACAAATTGATGATGATGAGGGGAAAGTATCAGACTATCATGTGATGATACAGAGACTGGTCATAATTACTCTTGTCTCTGGTTGCTGTCGTTGTCGTTGCTGCTGTCCTCTCCACTATCACTCCTTGTTCTATGTGGAATTATCACCAATAACTCACAGACAAGTTACAGGCTGAGTCGAGATTGTGGAACCTCCCTCTTCTAAGGTAGGTAGGCACCCACGCGGGTAAAGCAAATTTCTGGCCGGTTTAGTCATGACTAGACAAAAGCTTAAGCAACAATCAACAAGATTATTACCCAGTAGAGTTTCGTCTACATCCTCCCCTCTACCTATAACAAGAAATAACCCAACAGTGAAACCCAACTCGCTCACTGTAGTTTTGCCATTAGAGCCTGAAAAATAAAGGGAGCCCCTACACTCGGCCCCGCTTCCTCGTTATCCGTCATGGTGATCGCTTGGCACCGTTGCGTTGATGACGTCCGTTCGCTCTGAGATGAGGCCGCATTGACTTTGTTGCGATACGATATGAGGGTTACATACACTCAACTTTGAGTTTTGCTTGTTTTATTAACTATCTGTGGGCTAGAGATTTACATACAGTGCCTAGCGCTCTGTGATGTTCACAGATTGGCCATTCCAACATTGAATCTCATCTCACTGCTGATCTGGTAGTCTAGTCACATACTACACAGGAAAATGGACAAGGGTTGATCCAGATCACTGGGTCATCCTCCTTTTTTGAACATTTCTTAGGGACGGCCTAGGACAAGTCCAGCCCACGCATAATCTCCCGTCTGCAGCCTTGTTCGCTAACCTGACTGACCAGTTACGCCGCATAGTACAAAAGCAAATACCAAACACTAATGAAAATATGTTAATAACATCTTGCCGTTCGTACGGTGTAAAAAACCAGGTTGTTTTGTCGGATGATGTTGAACTCGGTGAACGTAAGTAACCTCACCGACTTAGACCAGCCTAGACCTCGCTCACCAGAACAACTCACTCACAGCATCCATATTACATTACATTACATTACATTACACTTCCACTCTCACCACAAACGAGGCCTGCTTTATTACCCTTACCCTACTGCTACTCCCCAAGTCCGATCCCCTGCTCGCCTCTGGCCCTGTCTGTCTTGCTTTGCTTGTTCCAGGTCCCTTGCTGTCGATCCATTCCTGAGCACCCCATGCTATTTTCTACTGCCTTGGCTTTGACTCAGATGCCTTGCCTTACCTTACCCTGCCCTAGCAGGCCACTGTATGTATGTACTCACTGTACTCCGTACCACCTATTCTTTGCCGCCAGACCAGCAGCCCAAAATCTTTCACCAACAGCGCTTGGATCTCACCGGCTCCCCGCATAAATCAACAAAACCATGACTGAGAGCCGACGTTGCACAGCAGGGGCTCTCCTCTCATAGTTTACGGGCGTGCATGAGCGTGTTCGCTTAAGGAGCCAGGGGGGGGGGCAAACATATCCTCAGTGTTGCGATGCTCACGCTCCTCATGCTGCGGGCGGCGGTGACAGTATTGCATTGTTGCAGTCCCAAGACGAAAACGAGTTCTGCTCCTCCTCTTCCTCAGTTCACCTGCTTGCATGGCTGAGTGATTCGTCACTTCTCGCTTCAATCATGCAGTCTCGCATGCAAAGAGAAAAGAGTCGTCAGGATACGTGACATCCTGGTCGTGAAGCCCATTCATCCTAGGGCTCAGACACGGCACAGTCTCGCAGCCTACTTACATCCTTGACAAGTGAGTGAGCAGCCCGGGCTTCACGGGATGGATGTATGCATGTATCTATCCGTACATATCTCCATCTGCAACTGTACACATACAGTACCTAGGGGAGGAAAGAAAACTCGAGACCTTGATCCTAAATGACAAAAAGACTTAGGTAACTTTACATAAATTTAGAATATCTACGCTAAATTTAGGATATCTTTTACTGGGTTTATTTTGGCACCCTATATGAAGGTCTTGTGTTTTCTTGCTCCCCGAGTAGTACACGGAAAATTGGTGGCTTCTCAGAACTCATATGAGCGCCCTCAAAGTTCGCTTCCCGTCTTATTCTGCTGTTGCCAACATGGTTCTCCTGGGAATCCTGGGCTCAGTAAGACCGGCCTGTTCCGTTCATGACCCTGAGACTTACATGCTTCCTGTTGTGATTGGCAGATCGGGCACAGGTATAGTAGTATTCACCACCCTCTCCTATATGGTTCCTTGGTGACAGATCACTAATACAGACCAGTCAGTGCTTAATGAAATTGGACGGGAATAAAATGTTTCATTTCTCTGATATGCTGAAACATGGTCCCTCACATATCAAGCTTAAAACACCTTATGTTCAACCTGGGTCTCATACAGGCCAAGACCTGATCAACTCGTAACTCGTCTTCTCAAGAGACGACACTGAGACCCGAGCACGGAAATAAAAGCCACCTTATTCCATGTTACACGAGGATTTGGATACGACTTCGCACTGGAAGTATACGTATTTACAAGGATCGTTTACTATTTTCAGCCTTCAAAGGATCTTCCTCCAACGGATCTCACTTCTCGGTATGCATCCAACCAAATCGAGAAACCGGGCCAAGGGATATTCGAGCCCCGTGCCTTCTAATCTGACGTATCTCAAAGTCTCACTTATCGGTGAGGATGGTTCTTGTCTCGCGGTTTCGACTGCAAGGTTGCAGAATAGCAGGGTTGAAACGGAAATGTCAAGGGAACAAATGTCGATAATCCTCCGGATACTGAATTAACAAGGCACGTTCGCTTGGGTACACCATCCGGACGTGTTATCTCGAAACATTGCTGGCAATGTGCTACCTACTGAGTCACATTATGCCCGGGATCTGTTTCTTTCCAAGGCGAAACCTCAAGGGTCTGCATGGCTCGGTTGAGCGTAAGCAGGCTGCCTAGATAGTATCTAGGAATGGAAATCACAGTAGCGTTATATGCTGACCGCAAGTGGGAGTGGTGAGTTGATGTTCATGCCGCCTCGCATGTTTCTATACCCGATTATTCCGGGGAAAGGATTCGTTGGCATGTGTGGTAAGCACAGGTGCAAGTTCTTGTCAGCCCCCAACTTTGATTGTCAATATTGGCTATGGATTCAGCTCCCATCTGATAGAGGAGCATCCGAGTTGGTTGCCTGTTGTGAGAGTACAGCTCCCCTTTGGGTGATGTGACCGTTCGAGCGTCCCGATACCGCGGTTCGGGAAATGCAAGAGGGGGGCAAAGTTGTACTCAAATTGTATATTGATCATGGAGATCTCTTATTGGTGTTGTCGCGGGCCGATTACAGCCAGCCAAGTACCGTATAAGTCTGTAAGGTCATTATAGTCTAACTTGACAACCATATGTTGCCTCTAACAAAGAGCGTGTGGCTTGATTGTGATACGCCTCGTGGTAATAGCCGTTGCTGAAACATGAGCAGTTGATTGGTATAGATAACAAGCGCGATACAAGGCAAACGGTGAGTGACGCGAGGTGATGATGCTGGGGTGACGGGATCTTCAAAGTCAATCGCAAGCTACAGCCAACTCAATAGCCTTATTTCCTCACTCTCAGTCTTATTCTCACACTTGTATCCGTAGTCTCGTCTCGTCTGGCAATATCGAGCTAATACTAATCGACACCAACAAGTCATTAAGAACCCCTGCTTGTGTAACCCGAGGCTCTGTGCAACTAGTAGTTAACTAACCCATGCAAGGCGCCCATGTCGTTTTGAGGCTGAAGGGTTGGCATGTGAGCAGCCTGGTTCGACTATTGATGCAAGTCGCTGGTATTGTACTGTGAGGCAGGGGCATGATATTACTGCAGTGTAAGGTAAAGGCAGATGTCTTTGATGTCGAGTCTATCCAAGTACCTCCCAAGTCTCACAACTTACAGGCTCTGATGCGCGCATGACAGTTCACGTCATGAGTTGACAAAAGCGTCACGGAGCATTTTAAGCGAGCGTGACGAGCAGTGGACTAATGCTGATGTGATGCTACTCAATATTTCCCAGGTTTAATGGTGATACCGTGGTATCATGAACTGGATGGCAGTGTTGTTATCTTGCTCATGATCAGTTCGCTGATACTTACTACAAATGGCCAAGACTGATATCAACCTTGAGAGGCCTGAGAGGTTATGGCTACCATTACCACTTACTCAATCATAGAGGACGGACACTGGATCTGTTAGTGAATTATTGTTCGAAGCATTCAAAATTCCGACGATGATTTTTCAGAACGTTATTATTATGGTCAAGCAGATTCAAGCTATCCGTATAAGTGATTGCCATATAAAGCACAGTAGAAATAGAACCTGAAAAGCATACATTCACACAGTACACCAGAAACTCAGGACCCAGGCATTCGTCATTAGTTGGGCACCATCCTCCGACTCTGACTCCGACGTTACGACATCGCAACTTTTCCTCTCCTTCCAACCAACGAAACCTAACCCCAAACAAACCCCAGGAGAGCCACATTTCTTCAGCTCTCCCTAGCTAGCAGCAACAGCCGAGCATCCCGTTCCGTTTCGCACGCCTTCTATTCTCCGATTTGCTACTCGTACCACGTTGACATCGTCCCCACCATTCAAACGCATCACCCACTTTCCGAGGCTTTCGCAATGGCTGGCAAGAAGGGTGACAACAGCAAGAAGGTAGCGGGCAACGCTCGCAAGGCCGAGGCCGCCGCCCAGAAGCAGGCCGCAAACGACGCCCGTCAAGAAGCTGCCGAGGAGGAGAAGTGGAACAAGGGCGCCAAGAACAACTCCAAGAAGTGAGTGCTGATGTCGCTCGAGGGCGCAGCTCTAGGTTACTGACATCGCTTATAGGGAAGCTCAAGCCGCCAAGGCTGCTGAGGCTGAGAAGAAGAAGGCCGAGAAAGCTGCTCTGGAGGCTGAAGACGACGCCAACACCCCCGGAAAAGCCCCCAAGAAATCCAAGGCTCCAGTTAAGAAGTCGCGCGGTCTTGATCTTGCGCAGCTCGACGGCGACGATAAGCCCTCTGCTATCAGCGCATCCGGTATCGACAATGCCCTCGACGCTCTGGCTCTGACAGGCGGCAAGGACGAAAAGGTCGACCGACATCCCGAACGCCGATTCCCCGCCGCATTAGCCAAGTACGAAGAGCGACGACTCGAGGAGATGAAGAAGGATGGCAGCGGCGTCGGCTTGCGCCTGGATCAGAGAAAGACCAGGATCAGAAAGGAGTTCGAGAAGCACCCCGACAACCCTTTCAACCAGGTCACGGCTTCGTATAACGCTTCGAGGGACGACATGGCCACGATCCGGGCACAGGAGAAGGCCAAGATCGAGCAGCGTCTCGGACACTAAACCTGATCTTTGTTTCTTTCATTGGCATTGCGGGATACCATCATGAGAAGAGGACATGCGTGGCTGAGGATTTAAAAGTTTCATGACGGAGTACTTGCTTGGGAATAGACCACGGCTTGCATCTTATTGAGATGAAGGTGCTGCTACGATTTACGATTATGGGTCTACAGGAAGATACTCAGAAGACAGGGTTTGAATAGACAAATGCTTTGATTTGTTTTTTTCTTCGGCATCGTGATGTCACAATTTAGGTACCTTACCCCACCAGCATGAGATGACCCCGCGGTTAGCCAGCCTCGCCAGCCCATGGCAGAATCTGCATGGCTGTAGGGTAGTGGAAGTGGTATCATGACCTTGGCTCTAAAGCTGTCATGATACGTGCTACAGCGTGCCTATATTTCTTCAGTCTCTTATGAATACAGAGGATTAGATTTCCCCGAGTCAGTGTCTTTCATAATAAGAATGATGGTTCATTTAGCCCGTATGTGGTTCACGACTTGGAGCGCATGAACATTTTGCACCCACCATGTTAGTACCTAGGTAGTCAGTTATGAACCTTCACCGCCTGCCAGATAGCATCCGAGAGCTCTGAAGCTTCGAGATCTAACAACGACAAACAAATGTGACACAATCTCTAAAACCAATTCAGTTCCCTACGCCTAGGTTCCTGATATAATACAACTCCACGATACACAGCATCTCGATACGCGATTACGCCTGTAACATCAATGCCTCCCTTCAATAATATGAGCGCATTGCCATCGCTGCGCAAACAACAGCTCCTCGCAGAATTGTTCGTTCTTTACCAAGAAATACCATAAAGTACTGGGTTAACATGGAAACTCAGCGCTGGACTCAAGCAAGCATGCCCTGAGGGCATATTTGTTAGTCTAACCCCGGGCGATGCTACGCTCTGGTCTGGTGTTCTCTTCGTTCGCAAAGGTAACCAACACTCGTATACTTCTCCGACTCCAGGCCTTGATCTATAATACTGATATTGTGATTCTTATAGGCCCCTATTGCCCTGCTATACTCAGATTTCAAATATCATTCCCCGACTCGTATCCCCAACTCCCACCTCTCGTCGTCTTTTCGACAGACATGTTCCATCCTCTCATCACACCCTTGACAACATACATGTACACAACCGACATCCAAGAAAGTGGCACAGTAAGCGCCTCGGATCAAGAGCGGTTACCGCCAGGAGGCTTCAGCTTGCGCCATGGATTCCCGGATTGGTTCGGACGAGGACGACGGAGTATGGTGGAAGCGAAACAAGCGCCTGTGACGAGTCCTGGTTCGACCAGTAACTCCACAACATCAGCAAATCCATCGTCGGGAACGCCTTCTTACATGCGCACTGGGAAAAAGAGTGTCTCAGCTTATGAAGTTCTACACTACATCCGCAGTGCCTTTGACACAGAAGAAGTTCTCGACTCGGTACCCCTCGCGGCGGCAGGAAATCCAGGGGCTTGGCACGCATGGAGAACGCACCGCAAAACAACGGGGAAGCTGGTGGAAGATACAGCTGCGGAGGAGGAGCAGAAAGAACAAGAACAGAGCGAGCATAGACCAGAGAGCGTGAAGTCGGGATCTACGGCTACCCCAAGACGACCTGGGGAATGGAATTGGGATGGAGTCTGGGAGGATAGAGTCAAGAAGAACGTTTCTGCGAGCTTGTCGGAGCCTGTCCTCTATGGAGAGACCAAGAATTCAGACGACCTGGTAAGTCTTATGCCCTTCATATGGCCACTTATGCAAGAAGCTCTACCTACTAATTCTGTGCCTATAGATCAAGTTTCTTGCAATGGAGGACACCGATATCGACTCTGTGAAGGACAACCTGCGTCGAACACTTGGGCAAGCTACATAAACTTAACTTGCCTTAGAGTCCATCCTTGTTTTAGTCTCTGGTGTTTTCGACTTCAGG